TTCTGAAATCAATCAAAAAACATTATTTGACATTAAAATATCTTCTTACCATCTCTAGTCTCTCTCTTTTTCAATTATGAGATCACTTCAAACAAGAGCAGAGCAGACAGGCCAGAGGGAAAAAGCACAGCTACGAAGAGCCAGATGTGCCATAGGGAATCCTGGAGCATCCAACAAAGGCAGCTCTGGGCTTAAATACCCCATGGGAATCCCTCGGAGACCGTGCTGTTCCCTTGTCTGTTGGTAACGTTGAGGCATGGAGGTGTCATTAGAAGTTGTTCGGCTGGCGGTGTGGGAAGAATAGTGCTCTGTACATTTTTAATCTGGTTTTGTAGCCCTATGTTTCGGCCCAGAGTGCTGCAGAAGTACTCGCATGGGAACATCAGTGTCGTACAGATCCCAGCAAACCAGCCAGGTTGTGGGAAGTACCAATCTTGTGACCAGCTGATTTACAAATCCTTATTTTTGTTTAATCTCTTTAGAAAAAAATAAATCTATATTACTCCTACTTATTATTAGCTTGTTTAATGTAGTGTAACCCTCAGTTTTCTAAATTTCTTACATCCAGATCATTGGGTTATCTGAAATGTAGGTCTGTAATCATAGGTGACACTGAATATATAGTATAAATTTCCACTTGCTCACAATTCAACACTTAGTAGGAAATTACCCTTTCTGTTATAGATGTGTTTATAAACCCAGCCAACTAATTTTTCAACGGCCACGCATTTAGCTGTTCCAGATGGACACAGCTTCGCTGATGTCTACCGGGGTGAGATGCCTGGCTGAAGTCAGCAGCCGGGAACCCATCCGTAGCATTCAGGGCAGCAGCTCCGATTGGTCCCCAGCCCTGCCGAAGAGCTGTGGCTTGTGTTACGAGGTAGACCAAGACATCCTGCATGCAAGTGCATTGAACTGAGTCTGCCATGGAGCAGGATCTATCCTTCTTGTCATTCCTATTAAGAAAAAAGCGGGAAAAATCCTCAAAAGCCTACAGGGTTGTTTTATTTGAATATGGGCACGCACTGGAATGCAGTTGAGGGACAGCATCGTAACAAACTCCCACTCATGCAGAGAGCCCGTGTGACGAACCTGGTGTGCCTGTGTGCTCTTAATCTGCTTCATCTGTAGGATACAACGTGTTAGCTTAAGCTTAATTTTATTGAAGTCATTTGATGTTGTGCCAAGCTGTTGCTGTTGGCCCTCCTTGCTGCTGCAAATCAGACAAGACCGTGTTGTCCTCTTCTCTGCACGGGGTATTTCCAGGGAAAAAGCTTTCTGAGCTTTCTTGGAAAAGGGTTGTGTTATCCCAAGGTGGAGAGGACAAGATGGCCAGGTACTCACCCTCAGCGCTGTGGACATTGCATTAAGGGTGGTGCAACCTCTGCACTGCCTCTGAATTTTCATCAGTAGTTGGGATTGGGATCGATTGGCATCAATAGTTGGGCGGCAACTCCGCAAAGTCCAGAAGATTCAAAATCAATTCTGCATGCCTCCTTTCCCGGTTTCTGTCTGGGAGAAGGCACACACAGATAATCTCTTGTTTCCAGGGTAACACCAACTTGTTGATACAATAGCTGTGAACCATTGCACGGCATGAGGTATCTGTTTGTTTACATCTTTGCCCTATTTATTATTAGATTCCTTGTGGGTTTTATAGCTTCTGATTTTTGAGTATTTCTCCTAAACAAGACAATAGTTGCCTACGCTTAAAATTGGGGTTTGATATGAAGTAGAAGGTGTTCTGATCAAGGAAGCAGCGTTTAGATTAGATAAAAAAAAGGGGTGTGTGTGTAGAATTAGGGCCACTTAAAGATCAGTATCATGGGCACAACAAATCTCAAATCCATATGCCCTTCTCCCTGGCTCATTGCTTGCCAAGTGGGCACTAACTAGTGTTTCCCAGGGGAGATTTTATGTTGCATGGACGGTATTTTCATTACCAGCCTTTAGAGTGCTCCTTGCAATGTTGTGGAAAATCCACATTACAGCCCCTAAGCATCTCGCAGCACCTCTGCGGCAGAAGGCTTTTGGAGGTAGACCAAGTGTCCCCCTGTTTATGTTTGTGCTCTGGTACATCTACTTTTACTGGAAAGCCACACTTGTTAGCAGGCCAACTTAAAGGATAAATATTGCACCTCGTTTATTCTGTCAAAGATATGGGCAAGCACAGGTGGCAGTGTCCATCCTGGAGTTGGTAGGAAGGGAGGCGAAGGGGCAGCTGTCCATGTCTACTTGACACTTAATTTATTCCTACCAGTCCCTCTGTGAGCTCTTCCCAGGGTTACGTAGCTGCTGGTGAATCTGTCCTGTGTGTTTTCTGGCATGTTCATGGGGAAATCTGATCTTTGGTTTTGGTTTCACCACCTTGTGTTTAAATACATTGTATACAAGCCATCATAAAACTGTTCAAACTCTCACAATCTCGTAGTGCAAGGTGGACCACAAGTCCAGCTTGGAGATCGCCAGATTTGACAGCTTGGAATTTCATGTGCTGTCTCAAAGCATTAACCTGTTCCTTAGAAATTACTGGGCCATTTTTTCTTTCTTTATTTTCCCAAAATACAGAATATTCCAACCCAGTGACTCTAAGTTCGGCAACATTATGGACAACTCCAGGCTGTCATTTGCTCTAAGAGTATTGCTCAGCTTTGCTATGAGGTGGAGTTACCGGTGCAGCTGCAAAGCAGAATACAGAAGATGTAGGATAATTTGCTAAAATTTACAGGCAGTAAAGTACTGTAAAGCATTTAGATTTTGTCATATTTCCATTAGGATGATGCGCTTTCAAACCAAGAAAACACCTGCTCCTTTCCAAACTTGGTTTTCCTATAGTACTGTTAAGACCTGCACAGGCAAACAACACTGAAATACTCAGAAATTTTCTCATTCCTTCTGGATGCTGGGTGAGATTTCGCCAGAGTATATTGTGGAAGACAGGGGCAAATAAAGTGCTTTCAGAAATAAAAGTTTTATTGAACTATGTCTCGGTATGATAATAAACTTTGTTAGTGAGCAATTGCAGGATTTTTGGTTGCTGTTGGTGCCACTTGGCAAGAATTACCCTACGGTATCTTCTAAGCTATCTGCCTTACTTCACCTCGTCAGGATAGGGAAATATCCAGGTCACCTGTCATGGTTAGTGTTGTCAGATACTAATATCTCATTGGCATAATCGGCCTCTTTGGGTATTGATGATTCATTTTCTGCATGCTGGAAAACCACGCGTAACAATGGATTTACATAAACACGTCTTTTCCTTCTGAGCGTTACGGGACCGTTTGCAAACGCTGTTTCTGAATGTGCTGCCTGGGCAGGTCAGAGCAGATTCCCAAAGCTCGACTCTGACTTCATCCGTATTGTTCGCCTGCACCGAAGCGTGAAGCAGCGAAGTTTGGTTCCCTGCAGATTTGTGTGCACTGCACATTAGTCACAGCCACGGGAGCTGGGACTGTTGCCTCTCTGAAAGGATATGGGGCCACGTTAAAAATCAATGAAGACATTAGTTTCCATATTCTCCTTTATGCGTCCGTATTTGCTTAAAATATGTAGAAACTTAATATTTTTGCTCTCTCTGCTCTTCTGTCGAAGTTGGTTGAAGTTCACCCAATGCGTCAGAAAGGCTGGCAAACTGGGATGGAGAGCCATTGCCTCACTGCCTTTGGAAAACAGGATAAAAATAGGTCTAGAAGGCACCTCCAAAACTTACGGAATTCATCTGCCTGTCCCAGGGCAGGATATGCTGCCTGTAGTGTCCAGTCAGCGTTAGCAGATGTTTTTCTAACCTGTTCTTAAAAATCTCCAGTTGCATGCTCCCCAGGGAATCAACACCATTGCTTAACATCCTTATGGGTATGGAGCATCTCCTAATAACTAAGTCTTCCACGCTGCAATTTTAACCTGCTACATTGGAAGTCTTACTTCTCTAATTCCTCCTGAAGGTAACAAGGTTGTTCAGATGTGGAAAGGGTACAGAAGCGGGCCCTGGAAAGCATGTAGCTGGGTAAGTAATGAACTTGCACTTCTGGGTTTCTCTGCACTTTTTTTTTTTTGCAGTCAAGAGTAGTGCAACATCCAGAGGAATTCCAATTAATACCAGGATCTAGTTAAGGAAAGTGAAAACCCCACTGCCAGGCTGGTATAGCTTTCCACCTCTTTGGGGGGCTGTGCTCCCAAAGAGTGGGTCTGATCCTCTCGGTAGGAGGGTTGCTTCACCAGGATCCCATCAGCTGGTGTTTCTGGTTCTCCATGGCAACCGGAGTGTTCCCCAGTGTGAGGTCTTTTGAGGCTTTGATGTCTCTGCTGAGAACAAGCG